TGATCTAGTCTCTCCTTGGTCATCAGTCCGTTTTAGACTCCTGATAAACAAGCTCTGGAAATGTATTTATTTATTTTGAAATCTTTCAGGCTGCAGGCAAACAGGCTGAATTAGGAAGGTCATTTCAACACACACTGGTCAAGATTTTACTGCCCTGTCTTCCTCCCATTCTACCCCCACCCCCAAAAAAGAGGGTCACATCAACTTGCTAAGTTTTAGAAAACCAGGGAAAGGTCCTCTTCAAAGTCTACATTTTTTGCCTTCTCTTTCTACTCTAGCGCTGATGATGTTACTTAGTTGGGTAATGAAATGGCTATTCTATTCTATTCTATTCTATTCTATTCTATTCTATTCTATTCTATTCTATTCATTATTCTATTCTATTCTATTCTATTCTATTCTATTCTATTCTATTCTATTCTATTCCATATTCCGTTCCATTCCATATTCTATTCTATTCTATTCTATTCTATTCTATTCTATTCCATTCCATTCCATTCCATTCCATTCCATATTCTATTCTATTCTATTCTATTCTATTCCATTCCATTCCATATTCTATTCTATTCTATTCTATTCTATTCTATTCCATATTCCGTTCCATTCCATATTCTATTCTATTCTATTCTATTCTATTCTATTCTATTCTATTCTATTCCATTCCATTCCATTCCATATTCTATTCTATTCTATTCTATTCTATTCTATTCTATTCTATTCTATTCCATTCCATTCCATTCCATATTCCGTTTCATTCCATATCCTATCCTATCCTATCCTATCCTATTCTATCCTATTCTATTCCATTCCATTCTATTCCACTCCACTCTATTCACAAGTGAAGGAACCATCCTTACATACTTGCGTGTCTTTCCATTTGGTGATAAAGCTGTTCTCAATGTCCATTTGCTTCACTTGATCTTGCTGAATCTGTGTAAAAACAACAACAAGAACAATTTAATGAAGTGAGTCGCCCAAGCATCTTTTTTTTTTTTGAACAAAGAAAAGGACATCAATTCTATTCTTGCATCCACTGTTCACAGACCAGGCTAATAAAGGGAGATGTCCATCTCCCAAAATGGTTCTTCAGTAATATAATAAGGAGCAAACAATATCAAATTCTTCTGTAAAACAAATTTATTCCAGCCCTGTATTACTGAATTCTTTGTTTAGTCAAATCATTTGATCTATTCCGTCCAGCCCTGTTGCAAAAATTATTTCTTTCATTAATATATATATATACTGTATATATATATATATATATATCCAAATTTCTTTTTTTCTGACATATAAAAATATTTCTGATATAAAAATATAAAAATATTTCGCAGTTGCGACTTGAGCCTGCTCTATGCCCCTAGTTGGGGGCGGCAAGGCAAGAGATATTGTAAAAAGAGTAAACTGTTTTATCTTAGGCAACTTTCCAACTCTTTGTATCAAAGAAGCAAAATGAAACCAACAACGTCACAAGTTGCCTATTTGAAAATAAGGTGGGATTCTTGTATTATAGAACAGTGATGGCGAATCTTTTAGAGACCAAGTGCCCAAAAACCACCCCCACCCCATCCCCCACCTGCCCACAGAGCCCCCCACCACGCCCCCCACTGCTCCATGGCCTGCTGCAGATTGCCCAGGCAGTCCAGCAGCACCATGGAAGCCACACCCTCCACCCGCGTCCCACAGCATCATCTGCACGCAATGGGGCACGAGTGCAGTGTCTTGTCCCTGCAGCCCGGCTGCCATGTCCTTGGCTGCTCGGGGGTGATTCTCCTCCGGGGGGGGGTTTCTGGTGAGGAGGGGGCCACGGGGCGAGGTGGGGCTGGGTCGATGGCGCACGTGCCCACAGAGAGGGCTCTGAGTGCCGCCTCTGGCACGCGTGCCATAGGTTCACCACCATTGTTATTGAACCTCAACCTTTCTTCCAATTAACACCGTTCATCGGAACTGTTATATTCTGCATGTTTTGAATTCAATGTTTTCAATCTAGACTGCAAGTGTGCTGATCTTAATTTAAGGAAACTTAAAAGGGATCTTCAGCCTGCTGAAATGTAGACTTTAGCTTTTAATTAGAAATTTGAACCAACTTACGGTGACATGACACTAAACCTGGAAATGAAAGCTCTCCAGCCTGTTTGTTAATTCTCTGACAATTTTAATCACTGCTTAGTAACTGGAAAACTTGAAGATCATTTCTAGAGTCAGAAATGATTGACAATTATCTATCCATCTATCTTATTATGCACTTGAGTTTTATTGATCCTCTCTTTTTATATTTAGGCTGCTATACACTCCTCTCTACATTACCACATTTGTGTGACCTGACAAAGTACGTAGTAAAATTTGGTTATTTTACTAGCCGTTTTACATTTACAACTAGATATTTCAGAAAAGGCTTTTCTGGACAGTTTTATGGCTGCTTTTGAGGTTTCCATTATGGTTTTTATGTTTTCTAGCAGTCACACATCAACGTGGCCCGTTGCAAGTCAAGCGGGAATTAGCAAATTTTACAAGCAATAAACAGGCAGCACAAACTGCGCCGTGAAACAAAATGGAGGAGCTGCAGAAACCAAAAAAAGGTTGATTTATGAAACATGGAATATTTCCATTTTAACACCATTTGATATTTCTATGAAAACATTTCTATGAAAAATGAAATACTTCCATTTTAACACTATTTGATATTTGTAGGAAAACATTTCTATGAAATATGAAATTTCCATTTTAACACTACTTTATATTTCTATGAAAACATTTCTATGAAATATGAAATTTCCATTTTAACACTACTTTATATTTCTATGAAAACATTTCTATGAAATATGAAATTTCCATTTTAACACTACTTTTTATTTCTATGAAAACATTTCTATGAAATATTTCCATGTTAAAAGTATTTTATATTTCTATGAAAACATTTCTATGAAATATGAAGTATTTCCATTTTAACATCAGTTTATATTTCTATGAAAACATTTCTATGAAATATGAAATATTTCCATTTTAACACCATTTTATATTTCTATGAAAACATTTCTATGAAATATGAAATATTTCCATTTTAACACTATTTGATATTTCTATGAAAACATTTCTCTGTTTCTCTTTCTCTCTCTTTCTCTCCCTGTTTCTCTTTCTCTTTCTCTCTCTCTGTTTCTCTTTCTCACTGTTTCTCTTTCTCTGTTTCTTTCTCTCTATTTCTCTCTCTCTCTCTCTCTTTTTCTTTCTGTTTCTGTTTCTCTGTTTTTTTCTGTTTCTGTTTCTCTGTTTCTTTCTCTCTGTGTGTTTCTCTTTCTCTATTTGTGTGTATCTCTCTCTCTCTCTCTCTCTGTATCTCTCTCATCCCCAAAAAGACACTGGTGTAGACTACTGTTTTGCAACCTAACCAACTTGAACATGTGTGAAACTTAACTCCCAGAGTTCATCACTCAGCCAGCTGGGGAATTCTGGGAGTTGAAGTCCATATATCTTTAAGCTGCTAAAGCTGAGAAACACTGACAGTAAAGAAGATGAGCTGAAGAAAGATAGGTGGGTCCATTACCCAGACAAATAAGAGGAAAAATATAGTTTTTGAGCAATCTACACGTTTTTGAGCGTGCAACATAGCTTTTGAGCAAGGGATTGGACTAGAAGACCTCCAAGGTCCATTCCAACTCTGTTATTCTGAAATGATTGAAGAAAAGAATGAAATTAATTTTGTTTCTATTTGGAAACCGCTTTTGGACTTTGTGCTCGAGGTGGGGAAAAAAATAAAGCTTTAGTTTTTGGTTTGCTGATTTGATAAGTTTGTCGTCATAGAAATAGCTACTATATATTATTATGTAAAAGTGAAAAGTGAAGTGGTAGGTTATCATCTTGACAGCAATGTGTTTTATTAGGGACAGCTGGGCAGTCTTATGAATTTGTATAGCTCTCCTACTTTCCCCTTCCTTTTTCCCCAGCCCACTTCAATTAAAATTCAATTTAACTCCTACATTCATTCAGCACTTTTTTGCATCTGATAAAGTGAGCTGACCGTGTTACAAAAGGTGCTAGCAGCCTTCTTTTGATCTTTCCAAAAAAGTAAAACAGAATATCCACAGAGAAATGTTTTCAAATGCTAAACCTTAATCCTTGCTTCTGTGGTGGCTATAAATTAAACATTACTTCAAAAAAAAAACACCAAAGAATAAATTAAAGTAAAAACAAGTATTTGAAAATTACTAATACAAGTATTTGTAATGCTACTGGTACAATTTGGCAGGTATGTATGTATGTATGTAGGTATGTAGGTATGTAGGTATGTAGGTATGTAGGTATGTACGTACGTACGTACACATATTACATTTCCAATTAATCTTTTAAATTACTGTGTACTTTGTTAGCAGGTAAGTATGTAAGCAGAGCTTTCTATATGTAGGTACATGACAGAGTTACGTGATCCTACAAGACCACACAATCTATCAGAAAGGGAGGGAGAGAGGGAGGGGGGAAAGAAGGAAAGAAGGAAGGAAGGAAGGAAGGAAGACAGAAAGAAAGACAGAAAGACAGAAAGGAAGGAAGGAAGGAAGGAAGGAAGGAAGACAGAAAGAAAGAAAGACAGAAAGAAAGAAAGAAAGAAAGAAAGAAAGAAAGAAAGAAAGAAAGAAAGAAAGAAAGAAAGAAAGA